AAGTGTGACAAATTGGTACAAACCGTACGGAGTGGAGAAGGCCGTTTTCTCCTTAGACTCTGGAGATAAGGGAATCTGCCAGTAGCCTTTGGTTAAATCCAGCGTCGTAAAAAACCGAGCCGTGCCCAGGCGATCCAGGAGTTCGTCCACCCGGGGCATAGGATAGGCATCAAACCGTGAAACCTCATTCACCTTGCGATAGTCCACACAGAACCGGATAGACCCATCCTTCTTGCCCACAAGAACTATGGGGCTACACCAGGCACTGTTGGACTCTTCTATTACCCCCATCTCCACCGTGGCTTTCAATTCCGCCTGAACCACTTTTATCTTGTGCTCAGGTAACCGATAGGGCCGTGACCGCACCGTCACACCCGGGTGAGTCTCAACCCGGTGTTGAATAAGGCTTGTGCGTCCCGGCCGGGGGGAGAATAGATCCGCATAACGTTGTTGCAACCTGTCTATGTCTGCTCTCTGGGACGGTGAAAGCTGGTCCCCACAAAGGAGCGAGGCAGGATTGTTCGATTTTAGTACCTCCGGCCCCAACTCATCTCTTTCTGTGATTACCGTCACTAGAGAAACAGGCTCCACCTCTCTCCACGCTTTAAGGAGGTTGAGGTGATACATTTGTGTCACCCCTCCCCTGTCCGAACGCACAATTTCATAGTCAACGTCACCCACTCGCCGTGTGACCACAAAGGGTCCTTGCCACTTGGCGAGTAATTTGGAGTTAGACGAAGGGAGCAATACAAGCAATTTATCTCCCGGTGAAAATTGTCTTAGCCTAGCTCCTCTATTGTACAGCCGCTGCTGCCGTTCCTGAGCCTGTAGCAAATTCTCACGTGATAACTGTCCTTGTGTGTGGAGTTTTGCTCTCAGGTCCAGGACGTACTGCACCTCGTTCTTACTCGGGCTCGGACCTTCCTCCCAGCTTTCCTTAACCAGGTCCAAAACCCCACGTGGTGTCCTGCCAAACAGTAGTTCAAAGGGAGAAAATCCCGTGGAGGCCTGGGGTACCTCGCGCACTGCAAACAACAGAGGGTCTAGCCACCTATCCCAATTACGACTATCCTCGTGCACAAACTTACGGATCATGGACTTCAAAGTCTTATTCAGGCGCTCCACGAGGCCGTCCGTTTGGGGGTGGTATACCGTGGTTCGAATTGACTTGATGCCCAATAATCCGTATAGTTCTCCCAGTGTCCGTGACATAAATTGTGTGCCTTGGTCAGTCAGGATCTCTTTCGGGATCCCGACTCGGGAGATAACTTGAAACAGTGCCTGCGCCACACTCTTTGCAGAGATGGTGCGCAGCGGCACTGCCTCCGGATATCGCGTTGCGTAATCCACGAGAACTAACACAAATCGATATCCGCGTGTGCTCCGGTGAGGTCCATCCCGATGCGCTCGAACGGCACCTCCATTAGAGGTAACGGCCGCAGCGGCGCTCTCGGGATGGCCGGCTGGTTAACCAGTTGGCATTCGGGACAAGACGCGCACCAGCGGCGCACGTCTGCCCAAATGCCTGGCCAAAAGAATCGGGCCATTACCCGGTTCAGTGTCTTCTCACACCCCATATGTCCAGCCATTGGGTTATAGTGAGCCGCCTGGAAAACTATTTCCCGGCGGCTCTTCGGTACCACCAACTGTGTAGTTATTTCCTCTGTCTGAGTGTCACGACTCACTCTGTATAGTCTGTCCCTACGCAATGAAAAATGTGGATACGTTAACGCTGCGTCAGGGCGCACCATGTGACCATCAATTCTTATCACTTGGTCAAAGGCAAAGCGTAGAGTATCGTCACGAGACTGCTCGAGTGGAAAATCCTCCATGGAGTCGAACACGGGAACCCGCGGAGCCTCCTGTGAAGGCCCCACCGGCTCCCCCTCCCCGTCTGCAGTGTCGGACGACCTCGCGTCACCGCTGAGCACAGCGCACGTATCCCCTGTCCCTGTCGGCCGTGAACGCACCCCCGCACACTGTCCCACTAACCTATCAAACCCTGGCCAATCAGTACCCAGAATCAGGGGATGCGTCAGGCGGGAGCTAACCGCTGCCTTTACACTATGCTTTTTCCCCTTAAACTGAATTTCCACCAGTACTACAGGGTATGTGTGAATATCCCCATGCACACACCTAATATCCACACCTCCCGCCTCTATCAAAGCCCCGGGCCGAATCAGGTTCTGATGAACGATGGACTGCATGCAGCCTGAGTCCACCATCGCCTGATGTGTACCCCCCTGAATCCTTACCGGAACACTGTACGTCCCCCCTGGACCGGGCGAGGGTGCTGGAGGGCCGACAACCCGGATCACCTGGCCCACCTCCATGAGGGGGCACTCCCCTCGGAAGTGCCCGAGCTGCCCACATCTCCAGCACTCCTGCCCTGCCGTCTGAGGAGCCCTCTGTGGGTCGAAAGCCGTGCCTGTAGCGGCTGGACCCTGGGGAGGGAAAGAAAGAGAAGGAGGATTAGTTTGGGGGAGAGGGGAGGGCCGATTATTATTATAGATAGAGTGGGGTCTGGGGGATGGTCGAGTCCAGTGCGGGGGACCCGATGTGGGACCTCTGCGGGGTGCCGGCGTGGGCCCTCCCGGCGGGACCGGCCGGCCCTCCTGTGCCCGGCCCCGGGAGAGGACGGCCAGATGGTCCTCCGCTAGGGTGATGGCCGGCTGCTATGTCCGCCGGGCGGTGACACATCACCCAGACCGAGGTGGCGGCTGGGAGCCCCTCCACGAACTGCTCCAGGACGATCTTCTCCAACATCCTCCCCTCGCCGGCGGACCCCCCTGGTTGCAGCCACCTGGTCGCCGCATCCTTTAGCTGCTGGGCGAAGATAAACGGCCGCTCGGCAGGCCCCAGCTTGCCCCCTCGGAACCGGCGTCGGTGGTCCTCCTCTGACAGCCCCAGCCGGTCGAGTACCGCCCTCTTAACCTCCCCGTACTGTCCTCGGGAGGGGGCGGGCAGTCCCAGCGCCGCCGTTTGTGCATCCCCTGACAGCAGGGGAAGCAGCCGCACGGCCCACTCCTCCACCGGCCAGCCGCATGCCGCCGCCGTGGCCTCGAACATGTCCAAGAACGACTGCGGGTCATCGCGGGCTGCCATTTTGTGGACCGTCATGCCGGTGAACGAGGGGGCCGGCGCCGCTGCCCCTGCTCGACTCACCATTGCCTCCAGCAGCTGGGTCTGCCTCTCCGCCTGGCCCTGGAGGGCCGCCAGCTGCTGTCGGCTCAGGACCGCCTGGTCCCGGCTCATCGCCGCCACCTCCGCCAGCATCTGGGCCAGCGTGTTCATGGGCTGCTGTGGATCCATCCTAAAGCTGCCGGTTCAGGTGCCAGTTGTGGCGTTGTAGATGCCACAGGGTTCGGCAATAGGGAATCTCACAGCCGGTCTCAAGTTGAATACGTTTTTATTTCCAATATACAATGATCACGCACACCGGCGTCGCCGCGGGCCCAGCTCTGGCTCCGTCGCCGACCCGTGTGCTCGGGTCCGGTCCCCCCGGGTCCAGCACGCTCGAGCCCTCTCCACAGCTCCCCCTTGCAGGCTGATGCACCACGCCCCCCCACAAGTACATTTGTAGCTTCTGCTTAATGTCCGCAGCACTCCAGACATGCATGCGTTGTCTGGTACAGTATGTGTCTTACAAGTTTTCACAAGTCTTTCTAAACATGTATACCTGGTACAAAACCTACTTTTTGGTGTTAAGTACATTTGTAGCTTATGCTTAATGTCCGCAGCACTCCAGACATGGCCGCATATCCGTGGATAAAACCGAGGAAGCGACACAAGTAGTGGTTTAAATGTTTCACGTCAAGGACTCATGCGTACGTGGATAATTTCAAATATCTGATACGACATTGGAAAGTAGTCTGTTGGCATTAGAATGTGATGGGGATAATATAGCTGAAAACTATCAATGCACACATCCCCACTAAAATGTTGTTGGTGCCTGATAGATGTTATGTAATGGATTAGCTCTATATAGAACTGACAGTAGCCTACAAAATGCTCTTTAAAAAAAAGAAGACTATCAATTGTTTTGTTTTTGTTTTTTTATTGTAATGCAGTTGCAGCCAGACATGTTTCTGTGCAGCAAAGACCACATGATGCACAGACCTACGAGAAATTACAGTACATTAGAAAAGAAGACATTCAGTACAACCCAAAACAAGTGTCAAGACAAGATAACCCAAAATATAGACCAGATCGAAATTGTAATAAGAATTATTACTCAATGATATTCACAACAGTAACTAGTTAGCAGCACACAGATCAATGTTTTGACTTTGAGACAAGAGGTAAACGTGTTGTAAAATGTCGGTTGAGACTCCTGAGATGGTTCCTCATCAGATGACCCATCAATTCCTCGGTGGGCTCCATGTGCTGTCCCTAGGTTGGTAACTCTACAGAACAAATGGATTCACCATCATTCTGCTCAGGACTGGGCAGTGGAGTTGATTTCATTGACCATCTTGGGGCATACATGGATAGCAGGATAAAAAGAAGAATATTAGCTACCACCAATCACTGGTTATTGTGCAACAAAATATGCCTATAATGTGTTAGTTAGGCTACCTGACAAGATGTAGAGAAGGGTTCAGGTAGCACCGAGAGCCACAGTGCAAGTGGATCGAATAAATCTTTCCGTGAATAGAGTGTCACATTAAAATAACAAGAACATTGTAATTCTAAAGTCACCATAGCAAGCAAATCATGTTACAGGATGCCTGGATAGCTAGGTTAAAAAAGGAAGCATTTTCAAAAATCCCATTCGTCCACACTGGCCCTTGCTCATTATTGTAAATGGACATTCGCTGAACATCTCACTCTTCTCCCACATCTCGCAGTTACTTACCATACATCTGTCATGACTCCCTCCAGCTGTTGAATCCGTTATTGTGTCAGCATCAGCAAATGCTGCGGCTGCCACCAGAGCAGCAGGATCAAGGTAGGTATTACATGGTGTTTGAACATTGAGTGTACAATTACTTCCTTAAAGCAGAATTGTGGCTCCGTGTCTGAAGGACAACTGAGAACCCACGACACTGAGATTAAGAGTCTTATGCTCTACCGACTGAACTAACTCAGCAGTTAACCCCTGACAACTTTCAATCAAAACTGGCAAGAGCAAAGATAAAAGTAGTGGTTGAACATTACCCACAATGCTTTGTATGCCTTATCAGATATACATTTCACAGCTTCCCTGCAACGTTGTACACTTTTATTGTACATTAAAACATTTAATTTCTTCTTTCTTTAATTTCTGTAATATGGTTTTAGGGACCATCAAACTACAATAGAAATATGGCATTTAATGTGGTAAAGTATTGCACCGTCTGTGTGGGCACTGAACCTTCAAGTGCTAAGAAACACTTGAACCACGTCCAGTTATTCTTGCGCAGAGGCAATATCGTAGTCTGTGAAGGACACCTGAGACATGATTATTGCTGGTTGACTTAACCCAACTTAACCCAATAACTTGCCAGGATGACTTGAAAACATTCAGCCAGGGCAATTTTTGCCCGTCTCTAAGGGGACTTAAAACAATGTCAAAAACAAAGGAGAGCGGCAATCAAAATAGACTCTAGTTTATGCTGATGAAGAATGGCAGGTATTGCTGGGATTTGAACCCAGGGTCTCCTGTTTACAAGACAGGTGCTTTGACCAGCTAAGCCACATCACCTCCTCTTTAGTGCTAGACATGCTTCAGCAGTTTCTTGAGAAGACAAGGAAAGAGGTCTGAATTAGCAAGACCTGTGCAAAGGGAATAAAAGAGGCCTCTACAGTGAATTGAATTAAGAGTGATTCTTATGTAAAATAAAGGTACTGCAGGGATTTGAACCCAGGATCTCCTGTTTACGAGAAAGGCACTTTAACCAGCTAAGCCACAGTACCTCCTTTAGTGCAGGAAAAATTCTTCAAAAAGTTTTTGAGAAGACAATGAAAGAGGTAAAAAAAAAAAATACCATAACATGATTATGTGGTTGTATTCAAATAGAACAGAATTGGCATCTTAAGCAAATTGTTACTAGGGGAGCATGTAACACAAGGTATTGATGGGATTTTAGCACATGATCTGCTGTTTTGCACCATTCTTTTTGTTGATTTAATTGTAGAGAACAGCAGTTACTGTCGCTACAAAGATCACACTTTTCAATGTGGAGGTTTCACATCAACATCCGACTTGTATAGGTGTGCATTGCAACTCAATATGTATACAAGTGGTTTCATATCCTTCTGGCACCGTGTCTAAAGGACAACTGCACCCAATGTGGGGCTCAAACTCATGACCCTCAGGCTACATCCACACTACTATGTTTTCGGTTTTATACGTTTTTTTTAAATGAAAATGATCTCCGTCCACACTAGCGTTTTAGCACTGTATCAGAAAGAATCTCCGTTCATACTATCACGCCTGAAAAAGCATATCACATGACCATGCGTGGTCATGTGACCAGCGTGCCGGTATAAACAGCAGGGTGTCTGCGCATCCTTAAAAAGTCTTAAATTCATGTTTCTAAATTTAAGGCCTTAAAAAGTCTTAAATTCATTAAAAATGTCATTATGCTGGTCTTAAATACTGTAACTCAAGGTCTTAAATTTGTCGGGGCAGGACTATTTATTTTTTTATTTTTCTTGCCGGACTTTTCAGGAAGGACATGTAGAGAGGCTTCTTTCTTGCTAGCTGCATATATAAACGGTTATGTTTTTTTGTATACTTGGTTGGAAACATGCCGTTAAACTGCACTTGTACTTACAGCTTTTAAACCCGAGAGCACTGAGTATCACTTTATGTTCAATAAACAGACAAAAAGTCAACTTGAATGAGTCTCATTGAGTGACACACATGCTATGCTTGGGTTGTAATACAGCGGGATCCCCCCCACCATCACGTGTTTTAGGTCTTAAATTTCATTCAAGGTGGTATTAAAAAGGTCTTAAAAAGTCTTAAATTTGACTTGCTGAAACCTGCAGGTACCCTGAAACAGGAAGCAGATTGTCTACTCTGTTGGTTAGTTGCAGAAAATATTAGGGAGGAAGAACATTGAACAGAAGAACAATGGCGAAAAGTAAGACCAGAGATTTCTTTGTTTGGACCGACGACGAGGTGGAACTGTTACTGAAAGTAACACATGAGCATAAGGCGTTGAAGGCGGGGGAAAACATAGATTGGGAGTCGTCGCAAAATAAATACGGCGAGGTTTGTTATCTTCCGGAAAAGGGTCACATGATAGGGGCGTGAAGAAGGGACACGTCATGACTGATAAGATGCAATCAGGAAGCAAACGTGACTGAAACGCAACCCCAGAGTTTTCAAACTAAAACTGGGTCAGCAGTGTTTTCAATAATCTTCGTTTTAGGGGTTGTAAACGCCGGAGTAGTGTGTACGCTAGGCGTAAATGTGGCAAAAGTTATGCGGTTTAAAACGAAAACGTAGTAGTGTGGATGTAGCCTCATTCTCTACCGACTGAGCTAACCGGGCAACACAGCTATTAACCCCTGACAACTTTCAATCAAAACTGGCAAAAGCAAAGAGAAAAGCAGTGCTGCTGAGTAATGCTTCAGCAGCTTCTTAAGAAGACAAGGAAAGAGGTCTAAGCAGCATCACCTAATCCTTCAGGCATGGGCAAAGGGAAGAAAGGAGGCCTCTAAACTGAATTAAGAATGATTTTTATGTATCACAAAGGTACTGCTGGGATTTGAATCCAGGACCTCCTGTTTACTAGACAGGCACTTTAACCAGCTAAGCCACAATTCCTCTGTTAGTGCAAGAGAAATGCTTCAAAAAGTTCTTGAGAGTACAATGAACAAGGTTAAAAAATACCATAACACGATTCTTTGGTTTTATTTAAATAGAACAGAATTGGCATCTTACGCAAATTGTTCCTATGGCTGCATTGATGGGATTTTAGCACAGGATCTGCTGTTTTGCAGCAGAACATTCTTTTTGTTGATTTAAATGTAGAGAGCAGCAGTTAGTGTCTCTACAAAGATCACACTTTTCAATTTGGAGGTTTCACATCAACATCCGCCTTGGATAGGTGTGGATTGCAACTCAATATGTATATAAGTAGTTTCAGACAATTCTGACACCGTGTTTAAAGGACAACAGCGCCCAATGTGGGGCTCGAACCCACGACCCTGAGATTAAGAGTCTCATGCTCTACCGACTGAGCTAACCGGGCAACGAAGGGCGCAACCCCAGACAACTTTCAATCAAAACTGGCAAAAGCAAAGACAAAAGTAGTGGTTGAACATTACCCACAATGCTTTGTATGCCTTATCAGATGTACAGATCACATCTTCCCCGCAACGTTGTACACTTTCATTGTACACTAAAATGTTTCATTTCTTCTTTGTCATATGGTTTTAAGGACCATGAAACTGCAATAGGAATATGGCATTTAAATTGGTAAAGTATCGCACCGTCTGTGTGGCCACTGAACCTTCAAGTGCTAAGAAACACTGGAGCGACGGCCGGTTATTCTTGCGCAGAGGCAATATCGTAGTCTGTGAAGGACACCTGAGACATGATTATTGCTGGTTGAAAACTTAACCCAATACCCTGCCAGGATGACTTGAAAACAGTCAGCCATGGCAATTTTTGCTAGTCTCTAAGGAGACTTGAAACAATGTCAAAAACATCGTATTGCAGTGACAACAAACAAAGTGAAGCTTGAAACTCAACGGCTGCTCTGCATTTTTCATTCTCTATATTCACCGACGAGCGGAACACAGACATGCCAGTTAGACATACATATGACATTGAAAAAGCCGTTGATAACGTTTGAAGTTTAGAAACAGCTAACACAATTTCCAGGGAAGATTTTCACTTATTTTTTGTCGCAAGGAGAACTGCCATGAAAAGTTAATCCAGGTCATGCAGAACGGCAGGTACTGCTGGGATTTGAACCCAGGGTCCCCTGTTTACAAGACAGGTGCTTTGACCAGCTAAGCCACAGCACCTCCTCTGTTGAACTTGAAATGCTTCAGCAGGTTCTTGAGAAGACAACGAAAGAGGTCTAAGGAGCATCACCTAATCCTTCAGTCATGTGCAAAGGGAAGAAAGTAGGCCTCTAAACTGAAGTAAGAGTGATTTTTACGTATCACAATGGTACTGCTGGGCTTTGAACCCAGGATCTCCTGTTTATTAGACATGCACTTTAACCAGCTAAGCCACAGTACCTCTGTTAGTGCAAGAGAAGTGCTTAAAAAGTTCTTGAGAATACAATGAACAAGTTCAAAAATACCATAAGTGTTCTTTGGTTTTATTCAAATAGAACAGAATTGGCATCTTACGCAAATTGTTCCTATGGCTGCATTGATGGGATTTTAGCACAGGATCTGCTGTTTTACAGCAGAACATTCTTTTTGTTGATTTAAATGTAGAGAGCAGCAGTTAGTGTCTCTACAAAGATCACACTTTTCAATTTGGAGGTTTCACATCAACATCCGCCTTGGATAGGTGTGGATTGCAACTCAATATGTATATAAGTAGTTTCAGACAATTCTGACACCGTGTTTAAAGGACAACAGCGCCCAATGTGGGGCTCGAACCCACGACCCTGAGATTAAGAGTCTCATGCTCTACCGACTGAGCTAACCGGGCAACGAAGGGCGCAACCCCAGACAACTTTCAATCAAAACTGGCAAAAGCAAAGACAAAAGTAGTGGTTGAACATTACCCACAATGCTTTGTATGCCTTATCAGATGTACAGATCACATCTTCCCCGCAACGTTGTACACTTTCATTGTACACTAAAATGTTTCATTTCTTCTTTGTCATATGGTTTTAAGGACCATGAAACTGCAATAGGAATATGGCATTTAAATTGGTAAAGTATCGCACCGTATGTGTGGCCACTGAACCTTCAAGTGCTAAGAAACACTTGAGCGACGGCCTGTTATTCTTGCGCAGAGGCAATATCGTAGTCTGTGAAGGACACCTGAGACATGATTATTGCTGGTTGAAAACTTAACCCAATACCCTGCCAGGATGACTTAAAAACAGTCAGCCATGGCAATTTTTGCTAGTCTCTAAGGGGACTTGAAACAATGTCAAAAACATCTTATTGCAGTGACATCAAACGAAGTGAAGCTTGAAACTCGATGGCTGCTCTGCATTTTTCATTCTCTATATTCACCGACGAGCGGAACACAGACATGCCAGTTAGACATACATATGACATTGAAAAAGCCGTTGATAACGTTTGAAGTTTAGAAACAGCTAACACAATTTCCAGGGAAGATTTTCACTTATTTTCTGTCGCAAGGAGAACTGCCATGAAAAGTTAATCCAGGTCATGCAGAACGGCAGGTACTGCTGGGATTTGAACCCAGGGTCCCCTGTTTACAAGACAGGTGCTTTGACCAGCTAAGCCACAGCACCTCCTCTGTTGAACTTGAAATGCTTCAGCAGGTTCTTGAGAAGACAAGGAAAGAGGTCTAAGGAGCATCACCTAATCCTTCAGTCATGTGCAAAGGGAAGAAAGGAGGCCTCTAAACTGAAGTAAGAGTGATTTTTATGTATCACAATGGTACTGCTGGGCTTTGAACCCAGGATCTCCTGTTTATTAGACATGCACTTTAACCATCTAAGCCACAATTCCTCTGTTAGTGCAAGAGAAATGCTTCAAAAAGTTCTTGAGAATACAATGAACAAGGTTAAAAAATACCATAACACGATTCTTTGGTTTTATTTAAATAGAACAGAATTGGCATCTTACGCAAATTGTTCCTATGGCTGCATTGATGGGATTTTAGCACAGGATCTGCTGTTTTGCAGCAGAACATTCTTTTTGTTGATTTAAATGTAGAGAGCAGCAGTTAGTGTCTCTACAAAGATCACACTTTTCAATTTGGAGGTTTCACATCAACATCCGCCTTGGATAGGTGTGGATTGCAACTCAAAATGTATATAAGTAGCTTAAGACAATTCTGACACCGTGTTTAAAGGACACCAGCGCCCAATGTGGGGCTCGAACCGACGACCCTGAGATTAAGAGTCTCATGCTCTACCGACTGAGCTAACCAGGCAAAAAAAGGGCTTAACCCCAGACAACTTTCAATCAAAACTGGCAAAAGCAAAGACAAAAGTAGTGGTTGAACATTACCCACAATGCTTTGTATGCCTTATCCGATGTACAGTTCACATCTTCCCTGCAACGTTGTACACTTTGATTGTACACTAAAATGTTTCATTTCTTCTTTGTCATATGGTTTTAAGGACCATGAAACTGCAATAGGAATATGGCATCTAAATTGGTAAAGTATCGCACCGTATGTGTGGCCACTGAACCTTCAAGTGCTAAGAAACACTTGAGCGACGGCCTGTTATTCTTGCGCAGAGGCAATATCGTAGTCTGTGAAGGACACCTGAGACATGATTATTGCTGGTTGAAAACTTAACCCAATACCCTGCCAGGATGACTTAAAAACAGTCAGCCATGGCAATTTTTGCTAGTCTCTAAGGGGACTTGAAACAATGTCAAAAACATCTTATTGCAGTGACATCAAACGAAGTGAAGCTTGAAACTCGATGGCTGCTCTGCATTTTTCATTCTCTATATTCACCGACGAGCGGAACACAGACATGCCAGGTAGACATACATATGACATTGAAAAAAAGCCGTTGATAACGTTTGAAGTTTAGAAACAGCTAACACAATTTCCAGGGAAGATTTTCACTTATTTTCTGTCGCAAGGAGAGCTGCCATGAAAAGTTAATCCAGTTCATGCAGAACAGCAGGTACTGCTGGGATTTGAACCCAGGGTCTCCTGTTTACAAGACAGGTGCTTTGACCAGCTAAGCCACAGCACCTCCTCTGTTGAACTTGAAATGCTTCAGCAGGTTCTTGAGAAGACAAGGAAAGAGGTCTAAGCAGCATCACCCAATCCTTCAGTCATGTGCAAAGGGAAGAAAGGAGGCCTCTAAACTGAATTAGGAGTGACTTTCATGTATCACAAAGGTACTGCTGGGATTTGAACCCAGGATCTCCTGTTTACTAGACAGGCACTTTATCCAGCTAAGCCACAGTACCTCTGTTAGTGTAAGAGAAATGTTCCAAAAGGTTCTTGAGAATACAATGAACAAGTTCAAAATACCATAAGTGTTCTTTGGTTTTATTTAAATAGAACAGAATTGGCATCTTACGCAAATTGTTCCTATGGCTGCATTGATGGGATTTTAGCACAGGATCTGCTGTTTTGCAGCAGAACATTCTTTTTCTTGATTTAAATGTAGAGAGCAGCAGTTAGTGTCTCTACAAAGATCACACTTTTCAATTTGGAGGTTTCACATCAACATCCGCCTTGGATAGGTGTGGATTGCAACTCAATATGTATGTAACTAGTTTCAGACAATTCTGACATCGTGTTTGAAGGACAACCCACGACCCTGAGATTAAGAGTCTCATGCTCTACCGACTGAGCTAACCGGGCAACAAAGGGCTTAACCCCAGACAACTTTCAATCAAAACTGGCAAAAGCAAAGACAAAAGTAGTGGTTGAACATTACCCACAATGCTTTGTATGCCTTATCAGATGTACAGTTCACATCTTCCCTGCAACGTTGTACACTTTCATTGTACACTAAAATGTTTCATTTCTTCTTTGTCATATGGTTTTAAGGACCATGAAACTGCAATAGGAATATGGCATTTAAATTGGTAAAGTATCGCACCGTCTGTGTGGCCACTGAACCTTCAAGTGCTAAGAAACACTGGAGCGACGGCCGGTTATTCTTGCGCAGAGGCAATATCGTAGTCTGTGAAGGACACCTGAGACATGATTATTGCTGGTTGAAAACTTAACCCAATACCCTGCCAGGATGACTTGAAAACAGTCAGCCATGGCAATTGTTGCTAGTCTCTAAGGGGACTTGAAACAATGTAAAAAACATCTTATTGCAGTGACATCAAACGAAGGGAAGCTTGAAACTCGATGGCTGCTCTGCATTTTTCATTCTCTATATTCACCGACGAGCGGAACACAGACATGCCAGTTAGACATACATATGACATTGAAAAAGCCGTTGATAACGTTTGAAGTTTAGAAACAGCTGACACAATTTCCAGGGAAGATTTTCACTTATTTTCTGTCGCAAGGAGAACTGCCATGAAAAGTTAATCCAGGTCGTACAGAACGGCAGGTACTGCTGGGATTTGAACCCAGGGTCCCGTTTACAAGACAGGTGCTTTGACCAGCTAAGCCACAGCACCTCCTCTGTTGAACTTGAAATGCTTCAGCAGGTTCTTGAGAAGACAAGGAAATAGGTCTAAGGAGCATCACCTAATCCTTCAGTCATGTGCAAAGGGAAGAAAGGAGGCCTCTAAACTGAAGTAAGAGTGATTTTTATGTATCACAATGGTACTGCTGGGCTTTGAACCCAGGATCTCCTGTTTATTAGACATGCACTTTAACCAGCTAAGCCACAGTACCTCTGTTAGTGCAAGAGAAATGCTTCAAAAAGTTCTTGAGAATACAATGAACAAGGTTAAAAAATACCATAACACGATTCTTTGGTTTTATTTAAATAGAACAGAATTGGCATCTTACGCAAATTGTTCCTATGGCTGCATTGATGGGATTTTAGCACAGGATCTGCTGTTTTGCAGCAGAACATTCTTTTTGTTGATTTAAATGTAGAGAGCAGCAGTTAGTGTCTCTACAAAGATCACACTTTTCAATTTGGAGGTTTCACATCAACATCCGCCTTGGATAGGTGTGGATTGCAACTCAAAATGTATATAAGTAGCTTCAGACAATTCTGACACCGTGTTTAAAGGACACCAGCGCCCAATGTGGGGCTCGAACCCAAGACCCTGAGATTAAGAGTCTCATGCTCTACCGACTGAGCTAACCAGGCAACAAAGGGCTTAACCCCAGACAACTTTCAATCAAAACTGGCAAAAGCAAAGACAAAAGTAGTGGTTGAACATTACCCACAATGCTTTGTATGCCTTATCAGATGTACAGATCACATCTTCCCCGCAACGTTGTACACTTTCATTGTACACTAAAATGTTTCATTTCTTCTTTGTCATATGGTTTTAAGGACCATGAAACTGCAATAGGAATATGGCATTTAAATTGGTAAAGTATCGCACCGTATGTGTGGCCACTGAACCTTCAAGTGCTAAGAAACACTTGAGCGACGGCCTGTTATTCTTGCGCAGAGGCAATATCGTAGTCTGTGAAGGACACCTGAGACATGATTATTGCTGGTTGAAAACTTAACCCAATACCCTGCCAGGATGACTTAAAAACAGTCAGCCATGGCAATTTTTGCTAGTCTCTAAGGGGACTTGAAACAATGTCAAAAACATCTTATTGCAGTGACATCAAACGAAGTGAAGCTTGAAACTCGATGGCTGCTCTGCATTTTTCATTCTCTATATTCACCGACGAGCGGAACACAGACATGCCAGTTAGACATACATATGACATTGAAAAAGCCGTTGATAACGTTTGAAGTTTAGAAACAGCTGACACAATTTCCAGGGAAGATTTTCACTTATTTTCTGTCGCAAGGAGAACTGCCATGAAAAGTTAATCCAGGTCGTACAGAACGGCAGGTACTGCTGGGATTTGAACCCAGGGTCCCGTTTACAAGACAGGTGCTTTGACCAGCTAAGCCACAGCACCTCCTCTGTTGAACTTGAAATGCTTCAGCAGGTTCTTGAGAAGACAAGGAAATAGGTCTAAGGAGCATCACCTAATCCTTCAGTCATGTGCAAAGGGAAGAAAGGAGGCCTCTAAACTGAAGTAAGAGTGATTTTTATGTATCACAATGGTACTGCTGGGCTTTGAACCCAGGATCTCCTGTTTATTAGACATGCACTTTAACCAGCTAAGCCACAGTACCTCTGTTAGTGTAAGAGAAATGTTTCAAAAAGTTCTTGAGAATACAATGAATAAGGTCAAAAATACCATAAGTGTTCTTTGGTTTTATTCAAATAGAACAGAATTGGCATCTTACGCAAATTGTTCCTATGGCTACATTGATGGGATTTTAGCACAGGATCTGCTGTTTTGCAGCAGAACATTCTTTTTCTTGATTTAAATGTAGAGAGCAGCAGTTAGTGTCTCTACAAAGATCACACTTTTCAATTTGGAGGTTTCACATCAACATCCGCCTTGGATAGGTGTGGATTGCAACTCAAAATGTATATAAGTAGCTTCAGACAATTCTGACACCGTGTTTAAAGGACACCAGCGCCCAATGTGGGGCTCGAACCCAAGACCCTGAGATTAAGAGTCTCATGCTCTACCGACTGAGCTAACCAGGCAACAAAGGGCTTAACCCCAGACAACTTTCAATCAAAACTGGCAAGAGCAAAGACAAAAGTAGTGGTTGAACATTACCCACAATGCTTTGTATGCCTTATCAGATGTACAGTTCACATCTTCCCTGCAACGTTGTACACTTTCATTGTACACTAAAATGTTTCATTTCTTCTTTGTCATATGGTTTTAAGGACCATGAAACTGCAATAGGAATATGGCATTTAAATTGGTAAAGTATCGCACCATCTGTGTGGCCACTGAACCTTCAAGTGCTAAGAAACACTGGAGCGACGGCCTGTTATTCTTGCGCAGAGGCAATATCGTAGTCTGTGAACGACACCTGAGACAGGATTATTGCTGGTTGAAAACTTAACCCAATACCCTGCCAGGATGACTTGAAAACAGTCAGCCATGGCAATTGTTGCTAGTCACTAAGGGGACTTGAAACAATGTAAAAAACATCTAATTGCAGTGACATCAAACGAAGGGAAGCTTGTAACTCGATGGCTGCTCTGCATTTTTCATTCTCTATATTTACAGACGAGCGGAACACAGACATGCCAGGTAGACATACATATGACATTGAAAAAAAGCCGTTGATAACGTTTGAAGTTTAGAAACAGCTAACAAAATTTCCAGGGAAGATTTTCACTTATTTTCTGTCGCAAGGAGAGCTGCCATGAAAAGTTAATCCAGTTCATGCAGAACGGCAGGTACTGCTGGGATTTGAACCCAGGGTCTCCTGTTTACAAGACAGGTGCTTTGACCAGCTAAGCCACAGCACCTCCTCTGTTGAACTTGAAATGCTTCAGCAGGTTCTTGAGAAGACAAGGAAAGAGGTCTAAGCAGCATCACCCAATCCTTCAGTCATGTGCAAAGGGAAGAAAGGAGGCCTCTAAACTGAATTAAGAGTGACTTTCATGTATCGCAAAGGTACTGCTGGGATTTGAACCCAGGATCTCCTGTTTACTAGACAGGCACTTTAACCAGCTAAGCCACAGTACCTCTGTTAGTGTAAGAGAAATGTTTCAAAAAGTTCTTGAGAATACAATGAATAAGGTCAAAAATACCATAAGTGTTCTTTGGTTTTATTCAAATAGAACAGAATTGGCATCTTACGCAAATTGTTCCTATGGCTGCATTGATGGGATTTTAGCACAGGATGTGCTGTTTTGCAGCAGAACATTCTTTTTGTTGATTTAAATGTAGAGAGCAGCAGTTAGTGTCTCTACAAAGATCACACTTCAATTTGGAGGTTTCACATCAACATCCGCTTTGGATAGGTGTGGATTGCAACTCAATATGTATATAAGTAGTTTCAGACAATTCTGACACCGTGTTTAAAGGACAACAGCGCCCAATGTGGGGCTCGAACCCACGACCCTGAGATTAAGAGTCTCATGCTCTACCGACTGAGCTAACCGGGCAACAAAGGGCTTAACCCCAGACAACTTTCAATCAAAACTGGCAAGGGCAAAGACAAAAGTAGTGGTTGAACATTACCCACAATGCTTTGTATGCCTTATCAGATGTACAGTTCACATCTTCCCTGCAACGTTGTACACTTTCATTGTACACTAAAATGTTTCATTTCTTCTTTGTCATATGGTTTTAAGGACCATGAAACTGCAATAGGAATATGGCATTTAAATTGGTAAAGTGTCGCACCATCTGTGTGGCCACTGAACCTTCAAGTGCTAAGAAACACTGGGGCGACGGCCTGTTATTCTTGCGCAGAGGCAATATCGTAGTCTGTGAACGACACCTGAGACAGGATTATTGCTGGTTGAAAACTTAACCCAATACCCTGCCAGGATGACTTGAAAACAGTCAGCCATGGCAATTGTTGCTAGTCACTAAGGGGACTTGAAACAATGTAAAAAACATCTTATTGCAGTGACGTCAAACGAAGGGAAGCTTGAAACTCGATGGCTGCTCTGCATTTTTCATTCTCTATATTCACAGACGAGCGGAACACAGACATGCCAGGTAGACATACATATGACATTGAAAAAAAGCCGTTGATAACGTTTGAAGTTTAGAAACAGCTAACAAAATTTCCAGGGAAGATTTTCACTTATTTTCTGTCGCAAGGAGAGCTGCCATGAAAAGTTAATCCAGTTCATGCAGAACGGCAGCTACTGCTGGG